CTATGAATAAAGCTTCAGGGATGCATTCAAGAGATGATGATCTGGATTTGGCTGAATATTCTCAGTAAGTCGTTTGATTATGTGTGTTTTTTCTGTTTAATCATTTTTTTTTATTTAGATGTTGTAATGTTTTGAATATGAATTTAGGGAACCAAAATCTGGAAATTCATCTTCTAGACTAACATCAAGGCCTGAAGCAATGCCACTAGATTTTATAATACGCCCACAATCAAAGATTGACCCTGATGAAATTAGAGCCCGGGCTAAACAAGTTGTGCAAGATCAGCGTCGCCTCAAGGTATGTGTTTTGTTTTGTTTTTTAACTTAAACTTATAATCTCAATCTCAATAATATATATATATATATATATATATATATATATATATAATATATATTTATGCAATTGGTAAAATGTACACGTGTCCTTTTTTTTTTTAAATATATTTGATGACAGATGAACAAGAGGTTGCAACAGTTGAAAGCACCTAAAAAGAAACAGCTTCAAGCTACTAAGCTAAGTGTGGAGGGCCGTGGAATGGTGAAGTACTTGTAGGCCGGTGCTAAAAGCCTAGTTAATGACCCAACAACAATATCACTCTTCACTCCTTTTTTCAGGCGGAAGTCGTCCCTATTTGTGTATCATAAAATTGCAAAATTTTAATGTTCTGCAATGTTTTTTATGTTATAAATGAATTTAACTCTTTTCATTTTGTATCATTAAATTTATAGTATTGCTTTTCGTGGATGAAATTCTATTATTGTGTGTTTAGTGGTTAATCTAAGGTGTTTGACCAAATATTTGAACAACTTTAGCTTATTACATGATATGTTTCATCAAATTTAAGTGAGCACCCTTCCTTGACAGACATAACAATTTGTATTTTGTCCAATTTCTCACTTAGGTAATGTCATGCAATCCGACTTAATTTTATCATAACGTGATTATCCAAATATTATAGTCAGAATCCATAAAATATTTTCTAGGACCCATGAGTCTCACCGGTTTAATTGATGATCCGTTATAACCAAGCTTTCTAATCATTTTTTAGGGCTAGGGATGTTTGCATGTTATGAGGTCTAGTTGGTTTATTGAACATTCCAAATGTTTTATAAATTGTGATGCGGCACCGGCCGATTCAAAGAGAAGGGAGTGGTGGCACATGCCCCAATGATCTAATAATTTCTATACATAATAAATTGAAAATTTCAGATGAGTTTCTTTAAAAATATGTTGACGGCTCAACCGCTTACCAAAAAATTGAAGATCGCGATATACATGGGTTATGACTTATGAGTTTGGGTTAGGCTCATTTACTTTTGAGGTTAAAATCTTTTTCTCAATTGTTTGTATGTTTATATATACAAGAATAAGTCAAAGACTATTAGCCTAAAGGTTAGGATGATTAGAGGGAGGAGTTATGTCTTTTTTACTGTTTTCATTTCCTTTTCACCGTGTTCATTGTGTGTGGAGTTGGAGCACATTACCTTTGTTTATTATATATATTTTTATTGTTTTTTACCGTAAAACATTGTATGTGGATAACCTACGTCTTGCATAGAGTCCTTGATTCCAAAAACTTCTATTAAGCTCTTAATACAACAAGTCAAACCCCCAAACCCCCAGATCTGATCTAAATGAACTTCTTAATGGATAAAGTCTCTGACTTTATCCATTTGAATGGTCACAAAAGGCACAAAACCAAAACCTAGGTCCATAAAGTTATCTATCGCTCAAGAACTCATGCATGGGTGGATGAGAGTGATGAGTTTTAGGCATAACAAAACAAACTTAAAACTCTTAAGTGTGCATGCATCCTAAAACAATATATATGTTTTCACTATTGAACCTATAACTATGAATATCAAAATAAGAACCCCTAGAAACCCTAGGTAATTTTCGAAAAACACATAAAAGGGTTTAGGATTGCATACCTTATTGTTACTATAGCAAATAACAATTATCATTGTCTTCTTGAAGCTTTGGAAGCAAACACCACAAACATCGTGCCTCTAATGGTTCACATCCAAGCTAACAAGAAAGAGATTAAAGAGAGTGAGGGAAGGAGAGTATAATTTCATCCAACCCTAGAGGAAGAAGTAATGGCTGAAATATGAAAGATAGGGGGCCTTTATATATTGTAAGTAGGAAACCCTAGATAAGCCCAAAACCAATATAATAATATTATCTTGAATTGGTAATTATCTAACTTCCTAATTATCCTCTAAGAATAATTCCAGAAACCCTAAAATGCCTCTAGAAACCGTCCACCCTATGTATGGAAGGTTCTAGAGCCTTTTACTCAACTATTGAACAATTGCACTTTAGTCCATGCACTTTTAATTAAGTCCATTAATCCTAAAACTAATTCCAATTAATTTCTGATTAATTATTAATTAAATATTACTACTTCTAATTAATATATTATTCTCATAATATATTAATAAATTATTTATTTCAATTTGTTAATCAAATAATAAATCAACCTCTCTCTTTAAAAATCATCCTGTCCAATTTCTAGGTTTGAGGGTAACTCAAAAGGACTGTGCTACTATCAATTCAAGTTTATACCGATTATAGTTATGGGCTTAGACACCTAATGTAACAAAGAGTGGTCAAGCTCTCATTTTTATGACTTAACAACCCCCAAAATGTGAAAAGTCATGGTGTGTGCGATGCAATCATCCCAAGCTCTTCCCCTTCTATCCGAAAGTACCTTAAACATAAACTGAAACCGTAATCACGAAGCTTAGCGAGTTCCCCAAAATACCGCATACCATATTATATATATATAATATATATATATATATATATATATATATATATATATATATATATATTAATATATATATATATATATATATATATATATATATATATGCGCCAGCTCAAGGCTGTGCCGGGTCTATTTCACCCCCGAGTCTATTTCAACTCATACGTCGGCCGTAAGCCGTACTATTTTACCCCCGGGTCTATTTCACCCCCGAGTCTATTTCAACTCATATGTCAGCACAAGGTTGTACCATATCTATTTCACCCCCACACACATATAGCAAACAGGCACACATGCATACAACACATACACCAAGAGTTACAAATACTACAAGCACATAATATATCCTAGTGTCTTACAATATAGTGAGCAAACTCACCTAAGTCTGCTGTCAGTCAAACAGATGATTGGGTTGTTGAACCGAAGAATTCCCGCGCTAATTAATCAAATAAAACCCCAATTAATAATTGGGCCATAAATCATGACCGAGAATCTAGTTCATTTTTCCAACACGCAAGGTAAAAGACCATTTTACCCTTTCTTCACTTGGCCCAATAACCGAGGCCCAAACGCAATGGCACTAAAAGCCCGATAGCGACCCAATTCTTAAAGGACACCCAATGCCCAATATGGGCCCAAATCCAATAAGGCCCAATGCCTAACAATGGCCCAAAGTTATAAGATTATTGGCCCAACAAAGCCCAAAACCCTAATAGTCCAAATATGGCCCAAACCACAAAAGTCCATAACCAGGCCTAGTACGCTACGCGTACCAGAAGTACGCCCGACGTACTGGGTGGCTTGCCTGATCGGGTACTCGAACGTGTACGCCCAATGTACGCACCCATTAAGCACTTTTTCCATTAAGCACTTAATGCTTACAACCAGAAGTCCAAACTTCAGATCCAAGCCTTAGGGAACATCTTAATCCATAAAGTTACTAACTTGGAGCCTTTGCATGGCTCAAATGAACTCAAACCCTAGATTTAGCATCCTACTACTTCATCAAATGGACATAAACACATGCATTGTTGATCCTCAACCATCAAGATGCTAACTTTATGGAATAAGGACCTCAAAAATGTTAAGAGAAGTAACTCCTAACTTCTGGAGTGGAAGAATCCCACTAGATGTCATTCATGGGACTAAAAGTGAATAAAACTCCATAAGGACTAGATCTAAGCATACAATGAGCAAGTTACAAGCTTTATACCTCAATGAAGCTGGAAATGATGAGTGGAATCTAGATCTACAAGCTCTCCCTTGATTAAAGCTCCTTTTTCAAGTTTCTTCTTCCTCAAGGTTCACCAACACACACTAAAACATACACAAAGAGGTCAAATCTTCTCTAGATGGGTCAAGGTTTCGAAATGAGGCTCAAAGGGTAATGGAGGTTGGGAAATAAGAGGATCATGGGTCGTAATGTTGCTTAAATAGGGTCCAAACCCTAAAATTAGGGTTTTTCCCCTGATTGCGTACGCCATACGTACGAGAAGTACGTCCAACATACTACCATTTTTCCAAAAATGGCAACAACGCCCCCTAGGGACCAAATTTGCAAACTTTATACACACTAAGGGTAAAAAATGAAAAGTACATTGAATCGGGTGTTACAAAAAACAATATATTTTGGGCCCCTCGATGATTTGATGTCGACATCTGAAGTGCTTGGCTGAGCCCGAACTGAATTGATGTGTTTAATTAGTAATTTGAATTTAGTTGTCATAAATCAGGAAATCGATAAACAAAATCTTGGACTATGAGATTGATTCTAATACATGTCTCATATCCATACGATATCTTGAAGAATGAAGGAATATTTGATCACAAATTTACAAAATATCGTAGATATTTTCATGGTTGAGGATCAAGATTTACCATGATTAAACCCTATACTACCGACCGAGCTTGAAGTAACAAACCAAATTGAATTTTAGAATTTGAATTTGGGTTTTTTCGGTTCATGTAAATTTTAAGTTAATACATCTTAGTTTGGTTCTGTATTATATTTATCTAAATATTTAATTTATAAACCATAAATTATAATATTCTTCTAAAACCCAATTAAACCGACTTAGATTCAATTTTCAATTTAGGTTAAAAAAATTCAAACCCAAAAAAACCAAATCAAGAAAACCGAGCATAGAAAATGTCAAAAAGGAACTAGGTTGGTGAAAATGGCAACTAATAAAACCCAAGGGACGTCAGGTTTAGCAAAAATTGCCCCGCTCCCCTTTACGCTGGTTTACCTTGGGTAAGCGTAACATATCACCGACCCAATTCAACATCTCTTTTATTTGTTTTGTGTAAATAATGAAAAAATCTTCAAGTCTCACTTGAAAACACGATTTCACACTCTCTCTCATCCCATCGTCTCTGGAACAAACGAGAAGCGCAGCCTCAACAACGACGACAAACGCTAAACACCACCGCCATTTTGCTGGGAGATTCCTCTGCTAGTCGCCGGTAATTTCTCATTACGCTTGCTTTATCTCATCCCTTTGTCTTGCTGTTTTGTGTTTGTGCCCTAATATTTTTCGCTATAGATTAAATCCTTTTCTTTCTTAGCACGGGTAGGATTAGGGCACGGAAAATTCCATATTTTGCGTGATCTTGATTTATAATTTAAACGGTACGCCTTTAAACTTGAGAGAATTCGATGTTGTAAAAGAATTTTTCTCTTTCTTTCTTAAAGTCGTGTTATTTTTTTTTATCATCAACATAGAAATAGGGTTTGCTTCCCTTTTAATACCTGTCAGCAGTTCAGCTCGAGTTTTTTGCATCATATGACAGAAAATCAAGTGGTACGAACTACTTTGTAGATTGATAATATCAATGTCTCCTGTTAAAGTCCATCTGTATAATCGCAGACCCTTAACAGGCCCCTTTGTTATGCGAAATTTATCAGATTTGATTGCTCAGAGAACCCTGCTCTTGTAGGTTATTGTCTTGAACATGAAAGCATACATATCCTTTCTTGATGAGCAAGTCTTTTTAACGTTTTCTTGATTGAACTTTAACTGGTGAAGGTTGCTAGTGGTTCCAGCTAACTATGTATATTCGGTTGCATTATAGGTGATTATGTTTAATAATTATGTTTTACAGTAGAAGTTTCAACATAAAAGGTGGAAAGAGTTCAAGTGTGCTTACATAATTTATGAGCTATTCAATACAAAATTGATTCATTTAACCATTTTGTATTGCCTCTTCGTTTTTCACTTGATTTTGTTGTTACACCATGTCTTAAGGTAAACTAGGGATAACCTATGTTGTTCAGAAGACACCAAGGATGTAAATTCCTCTTATTTGCTATGTATTGCATACTGTGCAGGTAGCAGATGTCTGTTTAATGCATCTGTGAAGTAGGGGGAGTGGAGGTTCTTTGTTTGAAAAAATTGGTGGAGAGTGCAGGAGACAACAATGACTGCTTTGTTGTCAAGTGATCCTATGCAGTTTGGAATGTTTGATAGTGGTCCATATAGGAATGCTGATGATAGTAAGGCGGAAGAAAATGGTGGAAGGTGGTATTTTTCACGTAAAGAAATCGAGGAAAACTCCCCATCAAGACCAGATGGCATTGATTTGAAGAAGGAGACTTACCTACGTAAATCATATTGCACATTCTTGCAAGACTTGGGTATGCGTCTCAAAGTGTAAGCTTCTTTATCTCTTCATTATCTACTACCCAAGTTACACTTCTTATTCATGTCCATTTGTTTATTTCCATGCAAGTTAGATGAATCACAGTAAGATATTTACAAAAAAAGCTTGCCAGTTGCATAGTTTTTTATTTTATCATAGGTTTGTTGGTGATCGTAAAAGGTCTATTATGATTTCTGCTCTAGTATTGATTGGTTTGATGTGAAACAACCCAACTTAGATGATAGATATTTGAAGATTGTGTTTGATTAAACTATATTGTCCTCCCTTCTCTTTTTGGAACGTTGTATTGTGGAGAATATGTCACGTGAAGACAACATCTTTGTTACAATTTCCAAGATGAGTTTTGGAGGCATTTATGGTTTTATTCAGTTTTACCATCTTCATGCATTTTTTTTGTCATGTTCAAACCAATTAGTCTTCCTCCCTCTCAAATTTTAAGTGATCGACTTAACTCTCAACTTATTTCTGATTACTGCATTCAGTATTTTGTTCTATGACATGCATCCTTCTTTATGCAACTTCCATCTTCCTCTCATGTGCCTTTTTCTTCCAACTTCATTCTCAAAGTAATACGACCTAACATTTAGCTCCACACTAACACAATGTCACTGGGCAAAAATACATACATCATGGCACCCCACCCAGAATCTCACAAATTATCTCTTCCAAAATCAAAGCGATAATTTGTTATGGCTGTTTCAGGCCTCCATGACTCTCTTCCATAGTTTCATGGTATGACCAAGTAACTTTTTACCTCAATAGTTGTTGCAACTTTCTACATTTGTTCTTGCAAGTTAGCATCACAGTTCTAAGTCTATACTTCTTTGGGATCTTGGGAGTCTTTAAGATGATGTTAAAGAGGTTCAACAACCGTTGCACTTCCACCTTCTCAAGGCACTGCTACGCACGAATAGGGATTTGGTGTAACACTTCACATGAAGTTAGTTTCTGGCCACAATCACTGAATCACATCATCATTTCTCCTTGCAACATACAAAAAGCACCAAAAATGCATACTGTTTAAATGGCCAGTAAAGCTTCAGTCATTTATTTTCAATGGTTGTATTCTGTCATTTTGAGTAGAGTAGGATGAGTTCTATATGTGCGTAGAAGTCCTTTTGTAAAGTGTTTTTGGATCATCAAATTAACAGCTACATCTTTTTTCTTTCTCAAAGTCATGCCTTTATTGTTATCATGGTATTGCAATAGGCTTTGATTTCTCGGTGATCCATTTTTGCAGTATTTGAATATGGGCAATGTCTTAGTGTCCAAAAGTGCATTTATCAGCTAACTGAACTCAACAATTGTTGTTTTCTTGTTTGCAATTCGCATGGGATTCAGTGAAGTTCAGTAATATCATATATTTTACCATGTGCATATGCTAGGTGATTGCAACTAGACCTCTTATAGTTAAGTTTTTTACATTTACGAGACCAAATCAGAGAGATTTAAAACATGAAATTCACATCTAGGCCCCTATCATCTCATGTGCATATTGTTTATGATATCTGAAGGATATTGCTACTATAATTAGACTCTTTTTGATTTTTTGTTTTATTTTAGTATATAACCCCTCCCTCCTCTCCCACCCAAAAAAAGAAAAGAAAGAGTATCAGTTTTGAGGAATGATACTCTGGAAATGATTTGATGATTATATATTTTGTTAAACTGATTAGCTGTTGTGTTGTGTTGTGGTTGTATATATAATATCTGGTCTTACATTGATTTGGTTGTTACAGGCCCCAAGTAACGATTGCTACAGCTATAATCTTTTGTCACCGTTTCTTCCTCCGTCAATCACATGCAAAGAATGACAGGAGGGTCAGTGCTACCTCTTTTCTTTTCCTTATCATCTTTTTATTTCCAATGGTTTTTGTTTTAACTTGTGTGTTAAAAGTTAATCTTTTGCAAAATTCTGACATCTAATTGTTTACAATGCTCTGGGAATATAAAATATAAGTAGGTATCAGGAGCATTAGATGATCTCTTTGCTTTTAAGTTTTTTTCTTTTTTTCAATACTTATGTGAGCCAAAACTGCACCCTTCCCAAAAGTGAAAAACAAAGTAACACAGACAATCATAGGAGCTGCTAGAGCTTTTTATACTTGAGGCAAGATTGTAAAAGATGTTAAGCGCTAACTGGGGATTATATTTATGGGTGGGGACCCTAAATTGTAAAGGAAAATATTTGAAAGAAAATTAAATATTACCATTATCCCAACACGTGTTTATTTATTTAAGTCACCAATCATCATACCATGAGTCCATAGTAAGTTTAATAAACTCAAAAAAAAAAAAAAATCATCCGACTTTCCATTAGTTTGACCGAGTCCGATTACCACTAATCCTACTCAGTAACAGGTGGCTGAGGCCGATTTTCACAGCAATGACTATAGGCACTTGCTTTCATAGATGTGTATGTATGCTTTATAGATCAAAAATTTTACACATGTAATATGTGTAGCTTAGTTTCTCTTGCAAATCGTCAACTGCTAGATTTACAACAGTTTAAATTTTCTCAGCACATCTTATATATTTGGTGTAGATGTGTATATAAAAAATAGGTTATTAAAACACTCTCTCACACACAAATCACAAAAGAAGTTGCTAAAGGATTTTTCACATGGGTATCAACTGCCTGCATTACAATTTATATTGGTGGGTAAATGCACACAGTAGCAGTATATTTTAGATGAAAAAAATTCATTTTAGTTGATGTACTTTATGCAAAATAGTGACATTTATTTTAGGACCAATTTTCATGCATTTTTTTTCTAAAGCAGAGCCATTTTAAACTGGTTTGACCATCAGAATTGATACATTAATATTTAATATACGTAAACCATTATTAATGAATGAAAATTTGAAGTATGCTGCTATATTGCGTAAACTGTGTAGTATCATTTTGAACCTGATGGAAATAGGAAGGAATATAGTTAACTATGTTGAAGATAACATTGTTAGAATTTTATGATAAATATGTAATATCAAAGTAAAAGGGATCCAATATAAAAGACCAGAACCAGAAGGGCCCAATATCAAAATGAAGACTGAAGAGGAGTATGTTGAAATTTCTATAGCCCTTGCTTGGTGTTTCTTTCTGTATAGATAACAACATCTAACAGAAGCAATTAACACAACACATATAATAACTAATAAGCAAAGCAATCAACACATCTAACAACTGCATTGCAAAGCCACTTACTGTTTGAGAAAAGAATTATGCTATTTATTAATTATTGCCTTCCATCAAAACAGAAACAAATAACGCAACACATTCACATCACAGTTGACATATATGCTTTCATATAACTTTCTTTTGTTTATGTTAATAAAATTGTGATGGGATGTGTGGACTAATTACTAATATGGTAAGATTGTATTGCAGACAGTTGCAACTGTCTGTATGTTTCTTGCAGGCAAGGTTGAAGAAACTCCTCGTCCTTTGAAAGATGTTATCCTTGTTTCTTATGAGATTAATAACAAAAAGGATCCCGAGGCAATACAAAGAATCAAACAGAAGGTACAATCATTTATTTCTATTCCTATTCTTCTAAGCTACCTTTTAAAACTCTTCAAGAGTTGAAGTGTGTATATTATCTATTCTATCCTCATAAGAGCTTGTTGTGTACCTGAGTTGAAGTTGTAACTTGTAAGATGACATTTGATGATAAATAACAGTAGAGTGATTATGGAATTGATTTTGATGTGTGTGTGTGTGCTGCAATGCAGGAAGTGTATGAACAACAAAAGGAGTTAATATTATTGGGAGAACGTGTTGTTCTTGCAACTCTGGGTTTTGATTTTAACGTGCATCATCCGTATAAACCACTAGTAGAGGCAATAAAGAAGTTCAAGGTTGCCCAAAATGCCCTTGCTCAAGTTGCATGGAATTTTGTGAACGATGGGTAGGCATGCTTGTGATTGTGTGTGTATTTATCATCCTTTTGGATCGATCATTTTTTCCATTCATTTTGACATGCAAAAGAGGTGGCATGCAAATATGCAGGCTCCGGACATCTCTGTGCTTGCAATTTAAGCCCCATCACATCGCAGCTGGTGCCATTTTCTTAGCCGCCAAGTTCCTCAAAGTCAAACTCCCTTCCGATGGCGAGAAAGTCTGGTGGCAGGAGTTCGATGTCACCCCCCGCCAGTTGGAAGGTCCCTGTCCCTCTCTTTTTTCCAATTCTACCCTTATAAACTAATATAATATTCATTTTTTTTTTTTTTTAAATTTTCTTTCAGAGGTGAGCAACCAAATGTTGGAACTGTACGAACAAAACAGAGTGGCGCCAGCTCAGACGAGTGAAGTGGTTGACGGGAGTACAGGTGGCGGGGTGAATCAAAAGGGGGCTGCCACGAGAGCTGTTGGCATGGATGAAGAACATGAACATGGAGCAAACAGAAGCAGCTCAAACCCTACATCGTCACGTCCCCCGCCCGATCAGGATGGCCCACCAAGAACCTCTGAAGTCAATGAAAGTCAACATGGAGGTGATGATGTTAACCACAGGGAAGATGGTTCTGAAGGGCATGAGGGAAGTCGTAAAGAGAAATATTACAAAGGGCAGTCGCCACAGGATGCTATAAAAAAGATTGATAAGGATAAGGTGAAGGCGGCGCTTGAGAAACGGAGGAAGGCGCGTGGTGGGGACGTGACACGGAGGACTGATTTCATGGATGAAGATGATTTGATTGAGAGGGAGTTGGAAGATGGGATTGAGTTGGCTGCTGAATCAGAGAAAAGGAAACATAATCACAACAATAATTGGTCTAAAACAGCAGCAGCAGCAGGAGGAGGTGCGAATGATGATGATGGTTATGATGATAATGATGATGATGATGTTGAGGATGGACAGTACCATACTTCATCCAAAGGACAGACATCAAGGAGTCAAGAGTTTGAGGCTGTGGAAGAAGGGGAAGTTGGGGCCATCAGGAGGATGTTTGATGATGATGATCATGATCATGATCATGATGATGTAAGGTTGTCACCAAAGTCTAGTAATAGGAAAAGGAAAGGTGGTGGGAGTCCATCTGAGAAACGAAGGAGAAACTAGAGAGAACCCAATCCATCCAACATCTCATTTATTCTTGAACCCTGTTTCTGCTCTGGTATGTCATCAATGTATTTGTTTGAAAAACTAAATTTTGGTTTCCTTTTTTTTTTATTCCCTTCTTCTTCTTCCTCTTCCTCATCTTCTTCTTCTTCTTCTTCTTCTTCTTCTTATGGTCATGAAATGAGAAACAGACAGACCATTTACAAACTTTAATCAGCTTTCCTATATTCTCATCCATGAAAATTATAATTCAACATAATTTGCTTCTTAAATGGCGGCTTATAACACTAGATTATTTTTTCATTGTTTCTTGCTTTTCTTATGGTGAACTGATATCATTATGAGTAATGTATGTAAATCAATTTCATTTCATCTCCAAATCAAATGATATGTAACCTTACCTTACTATGTTTATGCCTTCTCTTTTACTGCATCAATCACTAAACCTTAGCTTACTTGTGTGCTGTATGTAAATTAACCACATATATTGTTTTAAAGGAAAATATTCAGTACGCAATTTACTCGTCAAAATTTGTAGCTTGTAGTTAATGTTTTTCACTATTTGGATAAAACTGAAATCTTCAATTGCTTGCTATGACCGTTATTGTGTAAATCTGATGGACCTTTTTCTCTTTCGGTTTGCTGGTCTTCAGAAAATGGTGTCAGTCTTTTGATAGAGGTCTGATGATGTCTAGAATGAAGGTTAACATGATTAAACAACTAATAACACATGATTGTAAGCATATTCTTTAATTATAGCATTTTAAATTTGAATGTTATTTAATCTATATGCAATATGAATAATCTATCCTTATTTGACTAATTAATGATTTAAACTTCTCTAAAATCTCACTGGTTCATACAATATTTAGGATTCTTATAATATCTCCATTCATGTCCATGTGCAACCCAAACTTTCAATTAAAAAAATAGTTTCCTCTTTCATCTAATTTACAAGTGGCCAATTGAGAGAAACAACCATCACAAATTTGGTCTCTTGTTTTATCAAACGGATCGGTTGTTATGTCTGTTATTATTATTATTTTAATGGTATCTTTATTTGTTTTTTTAATGAGCAATTAGTTGCAAAAAAAGTACTCTGATCGGTGTAGGAATAAATTTCCAGAACATATTTTTAATATTATCGATCATAAATCTCCATTGATTAAATACAAAGGCAAACTTGATGGTTAATAACAACAAAACTACGATTGATTGGAACATCGTTGGGAAACATATTTAACAAATGAATTGATAATGATTACATGATTGTTCCATCAAAGATCTAAATCGAGAAAATGAAAGTGAACCGATGTAATCTTCAAACAAGACAATCCAGAAAATTAAAACGACAATCATGAATCGATCCAAAATAGACAATCAAGACTACTCAAATCATGTGAGATCTGGACTCAATCGATGGCTTAAAATAATATTGTAAGCGAGCAACATTTGATGTGGGTCAAATAATTGGGCTTCTAATCTAATAAACTCAATATACCAAGATCATTGGGCCGAATCATAAGTAATTGGGTTAAAACAGTGAATTTCAAATAAGATATGAACATAATGATCATGATGAATAATAGCTAGAAAACTAAGAACACGATTCCAAGAATTTGAGAAACTCAACAACTATTGAATCTTCAATTGAATTATTTAAGAATTTGTCAAATCGAGATCGTTCCTTGAACAAATCGCCTAGATCTTCAAGACACGACTACAATACCAAGTGTAAGGAAATAAAACCCGGATTTGTCATGTGGAAAATAAGAACGACATAATCGACAAAATATGAATCATATGATTTCGGATGAGGAAAGAGATTACACGAGCATACTTACATATTCGAGTGATGTTGGAAGTCTCATTATGGTCTGTAGTAGACTTGAACCGGCTCATACCATTAATGAGGTAAGTAGGTTTATAAGTAATCCAAGAAATATTTATTGGGAAGCAGCCAAGTGGAATATGTGTTACAGACTCGGACCATGGTGGTGATGTGGTCAAACTGTAAAGGAAGATCACTTACATGTTGCATCTTAACTTTATTTGGATGTATATAAGTTGGAAGTCAACATTGCAACCCACTCTTCCCTTGTCTACAATTGAAACAGGGTATATGTTAATGATTGGTGGAATAAAAGAGTGCATATGGTTACACATTATCGTTGAGAGTTTTGGAATAAAGGTGGAGAAACCTATCATGTTTTATGATAGTCGAAGTGCTTTATATCTTGCAAAGAATACGGTCTATCACGAAAAGACAAAACCTATTGATGTAAGACTAAATCTCATCAAAGATGTTTTTGAAGAAAAAATGTTTTCTTTCAAAAGATAAATACCAAGGAGAAGCCAACTAACATGTTAACAAAGTCGTCGCCCACAGAGAGGTTCAAGCTTTGCGTGGACTTACTAGATGTTCACAAGAGTTAAATCCCTACGGGATACATTGGTAAGAGGGAGCAATAAGTTTTTGGTTTCTGGAGCTTGGAGTATTACTCAAATCAATGTGGAGATTGTTAAATATGAGTTGAGAGTCGAAGACCCAAAATAGACTTGAAATCAACCTGACGCTGCTATTTACCAGGATAAGTATTTATGGTCCAATAGCAGGCAAACCATAACTGGTGGACCAGTAGTTGGTGAACCAGCAGTTGTCAAACCATTAGTTGGCTAATGATATCCTGACCGAAAGGACCGAGTGGTCTTAACTAGGGTTTACATTGTACTTTTTATATATATATATATATATATATATATATATATATATATATATATATATATAGAGAGAGAGAGAGAGAGAGAGAGACTGATAACTAGGGTTTGATGTTGTAATATACTATCATTTTTCAAGTTTGTGAATAAGAATACTCCCTCTTATCCATGGACATATGTCATATTGATCAAACCACATAAATATTGCATCTTTGTGTGATTATTCTCGTTTTTCTTCCCGACACCAACTAAAGACTAGTTGAGACTGATTTTTAAGAGCCAATTTAGGCTTGAGACCAGTACAACCTGAGACCGATCCAGGTTCATAAACTTGTAACGTGGGAAAATCCTCCATGGGGATCCTAGTTTTTTGTTTTGTTGGGGGTGAGGATCGTGACATATTTTTCATGCCCGACGAGGATTGCGATGATTATGGGAATGGATGTAGGGATGACAATTGATGACACGACATAACAAAAATACATAACACAAAACAAAATTGGGACGAAACTGAAATTGAACCTCTTGTTCATTTTGTGTTCATATCAAGTGAAAAAAAGACGATGTCGTGTCATGTTGTGTTTGTGTTCAAAATTCGACACAACATTGACACAATTTAACATTTGTTTGTCGTGTTTGTTGTGTTATGTACGATTAATTATTAAATAAAGAAACTATGTGTTATTTTATTTTATCGTTTTTATGTCGTGTCATCTTTGTTGTTTTTTAATTTGTTCGTTTTCATGTTAGTTAAAAAAAACACGATATCGTGTCATGTCGTGTTACATAAAACCTTATCGTGTCGTATCGTATCCGACAAAAACACGACATGATTGCCCGATTCGCCACCCCTAGATGGAGGTGAGGACTCGGTTATGAGGATAGAGAATGCTATACCCCATTAATAAAATTGTTTTTTACTTGATCAAACAAATAAGAATCAAAATCACATGGTGCAAGTACGTAGACACACACAAAAAAATTTAATAAGTTTAATTCTCTATAATTTGTAGACGATGAAGAAAACTATCGAAGTAACAATAGAGATAAAATCAAGCTAAACACGTAAATAAATGAATAACAATCCCTGAACATCATCTATAGTGACGATACATCTTTGATCGAAAAAATAATAATTCAGACTTTATGGATATATTTCTTGAAAATAAAACAAAAGATAAAACATCAATTATGGTAATAATGACAATGATATTGGCAATGACTTAATCTTTGTAATAACGTTATTATTGGCTCAACAAAATAATAATGCCTCTAGCTAGAATATGTTTATTAAAATAAAATTAAGAGAAACCATGATCTGAAAATACACGTTAATATTAATTATGAATCTACACATTAACTCCAAAAGTGATTTATACCACCACATGATCGATATGATGCACCCTTTGGTCTACCATGAAAACATCCCTCTACCATATGATCACCATGGGTTTGCATCAACAAAATTTAGATGAATTATTGGACAATAAATATATCAATTCTCTCTAGTTTTGTCTCGTAAACCCAAGTGCAAGTAAATCTTGATTTGTGCCAATGAAGTCGTAGTTACCTCCTGTGTTCAAATCAAAACTGATGGACCCCCCACCACCCTCCGTTTTGATCTTCATTTCTTCCTTTACTGTTGTGGGTCCCTTCTTCCCATCATGGCTAAATTTAGAAACATTCTCTTGCCTTCCTTCTCCATTTAAATTGTCCATAAGATCCGAAAGGGCTAAGTTGAAGTTGGTTAGTTCAGCTCGTGTTGCTTCAAGATTGCCAGATGAGTTCATGTCAAGTGAGAGGCTTTTTTGAGCATTCTCTAAGATTCCTTGCAAGTATTTTCCTTGAGTTTCTATTCTCATTTGTAATTTCTTCTGTACCTAATGAAGTAATGAGTGTTTCATTACACATGTGAAAATGACTAAAACACCCTTTAATAAAGACCGAACAAAAAGGTCCCGTGTCTAATATATACAAGTTAATGCCATTAAATAGTAATTGTGATGACGGAGATAAGAGCAATATAAGGTTTAACTATTTTCTTTAGTGATTAAACTGATATATTTTTGACTGTTTAAAAAGACAATTTTCATGGTTTGAAAATGCATAACATAACAACATGCTTTCGTTAGTTTATCAATTTAGCCACTGGAATATTATGTTTTATGATTATTGCAATATATTAATCACTATAGAAAACAGTTACGTGGTCAAATCAATAAAATGGCGAAAATAATAGGTTGTGGTCTTTTGAATTTAATAGTAAAAATAAGCAATCAAACAACTTTCTGAAATAGGAATCTTTCCTAAAAAAGAAATTGGATTTTCGTGAGGCATATTGTGACAGAAAATGATGCAATTTGAACTGAGGAAGGAATTGCTATATACCTCAAACTGCTCTTGTAACCTTTTTTGTGCTTCAATCTGGCATATCAGTGCATCTGCAATAGGTATATCTCTGTATACAAAATGAATAATAATAAAAAAAAAAAACTATTCAGATTGAGATTCTTTTAAGCTGAATTTAATATGATGGAACATATGAGAAATGATGCATACACTGGTTCGTGATTAGCTCTTAAAGAATTGGAGCTTGTGCCTGTCGAATGCAGATTGTAGTGTTCATAGGAATCACCTAAATGATCAAATAACCATGAGAAATACTGGAGAAAAAAAACGTGTGAAATCGATGAAATATCAAAATGTGATTGATGCTCACCACTGTTTTCATTGTTGGGATCACCATTGTTTTGCTTCTTTGCCTGCTGTCCAAGTCTATACTTCTATAAACATAAAACAAGACTCTAAAGTTTTAAAATTTAAACAACAAATCAAACTTAATGAAATTAACTTCATGTTTGACTTTTTGAGTGTCAAATGAGCTGACATTCAACTTCAAAATCCAAATAAACTGGTTTGATGTTGTAGAAGAAACTAGCGAACTAAATCTGATTATGTAAATAGTGTTGGATTTGAATCGTGTATAAACAGAAAACGAGTAGAATCCATGTCGAATTTGAATTCGTGTAGTTCAAGATTTGACTTTCTTAGTCAAGAACTTGAAGTTCTTGGGATTGATGAAGAGTGTGAAACTCTACCTGTAAATGGCTCTTCAAATGGTATAATGTCAACCCCTTTAATCCCATCAATCTCAGCACCGATTTAGGAGTTGCTTCTGGAAAACAAACCCAATATTACTTTCGAATCGAATCAGAATTTTCTTACAAATTTCAAATCGAGAACACTTATAATACGTCTTAGTCTTCATATTAGCATTCAAAAACCAATTTAACCTGAAATTCTTTTGTTGGGTTGATTATGGATATAAAGATTCTTGATCCCATGAAGACGTAATCGGAAAATTAAATTTGAAAAAAGCAGACATTTTTCACAATCTGGAAAATGGTCCATAAAGACCAAAACTTTTCAATTGTTTGAACAATCTTGGATTCTGGGCATTGGGAGACTTCTGATCAAGATTAAGAATCTCATCAAAGATAAGTCAAATTCAATGAACAGAAGCCTTTGACCAATTGGAAACTCAAAATTGAGTCATTTAGCTTTAAAAAACTTTAAAAAGTCGAACAACCCACAAGTTTAAACACTTAAACCAACCAGTTTAATCAGTTTTTATTCTCAAAAACAGAAAGATTAAGACATTATTTATGATCAAAGATTTGAAAAGAGAAAACAGAGAGACTAACTGTCAGGGCCACCAAGTTTAGTAACAGCATCAACAAATCTATCATGAAGATCAGCAGTCCATCTGAGCCTTGGCTTTGGGTCTCTTGTCATCACCACCCCACCACTCTCAAACTCAAAACACCCACCACCACCACCACCACCACCGCCGTATCTGCCGTCCATTTGAATACAACTATCACCACACCACCACTTTCTTTCACCAGTACCCACCAAAACCTCGATTATGCTCTTTTCCCAAAAATTCAACTTCTCCCACTACCAAGTTTCTTTATTTGTTTTTCAACTTTTCTTTTCTTTTTTTTTTCTTTGTCCCCTTTGGGAATTTTGTTTATTTATGGATGGGTTCTTTCTTTTGTACAACAAAGACAGAGAGAAAGAAGCAACCACAGAATGAATTCCCTACACTCAAAAGGTAAAAGTGCTAAAAGTTTCAAAGATATATACACCGATACATCATGTATCTATATAAATTCTTTGAGGACTTATTGAAGTTAAATGGGAGATTATATGCTTTGGAAGACAAGAATAAATTTGGGAACCAAAGTTAACTAAACAAATGGAGCTTTCTCATGAGATATTAGAATCTTGAAAAACAATAATATCTTAAAATTAGAATTAGATTAAATTAATAATGTGTTACATGTGCAATGAAGGAGAGTTAAGACTTAAGATTATGTTATTACACAATCATCTATGAAGTTTAATGATATTATCAAAAATACCCCCTACTTCCAAGAATTTCACAACTTTCACCCAATCTTGTGTGATTATCATGTGACCCTAATACCCTTTTTTCTTACTGTTTCTTTGGAATGGGTGAACCAAATTGATGTCTCATGTATAGGTTCCGAATCTTCTATTCTGGATTGCAATATCTTTCCCAATTCACTGTAGCTTTGAATTTTCAAAAAAGAAATTCCTTACATGTGAAAAGACTAAGATGCCCATGACTTTTATAGGATTGGATGGTTTGGTCCACACTATTTCATTATCTTTCTTATTTGGTCCATTCAAAATGTTCTTCTTTTGTTAGTAAATCTATTATGTGGTTTGGTATAATGCCAATGAATCTACCAATACCATTGGGCCATTGGGCACCATGCTACACACAAAACACAAGTTTTTGACAATCAAAGAAGAAATGAACCAAACACATGTGAATGGTCCTTTTTAAGTCTACTTCCAAAGCATGCACAATGTGTTACTTAGATTTTGATCTTATAGGAATGCTTGCATCGAATAGCTTCAAAAATTGAGGCGTTTGGAAGGGTAATTAAACCAAATCATTACCATCATTGCCTCCAAGCTCCATCAACTACAAAAAGTTCAATTGCTTCATATTTTAGTTGCTTATATACCCGGTTAAACCAACTTTTGACTAATTATTTGAATAAATAGGAGTGTAAAATTCAGTTAGTTTCTTCTCCACTATTTTAGGTTCCATTTAAAATGGTAAATTGCAAAAGATAACAACATATTTTATTTTTGCTATCAATAAAGATACATACTATAATTTTATCCCATAGTGCAAGTTACTTACAATTTCTATCCATAATGACAACGTGCTTATATTTCGGTAATAGCAATGTTTAACTTCGAACTTATAAAATTGTATCATATTTATTATTTAGCCATGATAACAGCGGATTGTACTTTTTAACCTATAATGACAAGATACATATAATAATAATAATAATACTAATATGTAACCTGGAACTTAATTTCAAAAGTTTCAAATGACATACCACTGTTATCAATAAATGTCATACTACTATTATCGATAAAAATATAAAAGTGCATCCCTTCAATGGTAAGAAATATAAGCACGGTGGTGGAGCTATATGTGGGCATCGGGGCATTACAACATCCTAAAATAAATTGTTTTATATATAAAAAACAAATTATTTATTAACATGCTCTATGTTATTATACCCCCGGTTAAAAGGAATGTAGCATATTTTTAATGCATAGGATTGGATAACTACATAAAATATATATTTTTCGGTTGCTATAGCAAGTGTAGAGAAAATAAGTTGCAGAATAACATGGATGATAAAGTTTTAAATGATTGTTTAGTCACTTTTGTTTAGAAGGATGTGCTTCTACAAGTTCTTGATGACAATATTACACGGGAGGCTAAATTGAATAAGATGACAAAGTAAGGGCCTAAAAGGAACTTTTTACTAATGTTAATGCTGTTTTAGGATAGTTTAAGAGCTGTACCTATACTTTGGTATTTTTCTTTTTTTCACCAAACTTCAAAAGTATAATATCAACATTAGCCAGCAAAGTGTCCTACTACCTAAAAGGCCTGTCTGATTTGTGATGCTAATGGAAAAGTAACTCGGATATCATAATTCATGAAAGTAGTAGATTTTTGGTTGGACTTTCATTAAGGTGTTATTTTGTTAGCTCCCTAAGGTTAAGGTTATGTGTTTTGACTGAAATACTATAGAGTCTATATGAGCCATATGAAGGTATATGGAATGTCAAAAATAATTATGTTATCAACTTTTATGTAATGTTTTTTACTGATTATTTTAATTAATATATACTTCAAATTTGAATTGTCTAAGTTAAGAAAAAAATGCATCTATTATTCTGGCAGCATCAAACATTAGTTTGTCTTTTATGCCAATAAATAGTTTCCGATAGTTTATATTTTGGAGTTTGAAGCTCGCTAAAATCACATATCCCTAGTTATTTTTTGCGTGGGGTTGCATTAAAATTTTTAAAAACCAGAGGGTGTAAAATGAATATTTTTGTACTTCCAAAATCTGTGACAATGTAACAGAAGTTCTCCATTAAAGACAAATGGCTAAAACCCAATGACAACAAGTATTCCACCTTGTGGTTTTGCATTTAATGTATTATATATAATTTGCATATAGTTTTATATATTTCAGTTGTAATCACTTCAATTATATTTATATTAATTACATACTATGAACAATATGTTTTCTACGACATGTCTTAATTTAAATCACCCAAAAGGAATCTTAATAAATCAAAAGAATCAAATAACAAGATTGATTCTCTTTCACAAGATTGTTTTGTTTTACTGTCATTCCGTTAAGAAACAAAATTATTTTGATAAATAAGTGTTGATTTTATTACTAAACATAGAATATAATATTTCTTTCTACTACTTACTACTTGACCAAAATGTATGCTTTCACCACACCTCTCTATTTCCTGTTACCCCAACGTTATAGCACTTCCTTCTTATTGTCTCCTTATTTAGGAAATGGTCACCCCTCAGTGTTCTATTTTTTTTAAATAAAATGTATAAAAGTATAATTTCTTTATAAATAAACTCACAATTAATATTTTTTTTCATTAATTCAAACTAAAATAGTCATAAATGCATAATACTAATCAAAAGCAAACTAAAACATAACAATAATTAAAAAAGCATGTCACTCTAAATTCTCTTTAAAATCTGGGTTTGAGTTCTTGTCCAAATCCATGTTTGATTTCTTGTCCAAATCCTCATCGATAGTATTTAGCTAAGTTACGTAAATGTGTTCCACTAAATCAGTATGTAGCTTGTGGTGCGTATCTCGGTTTAGTAATTCCATTTTGTTTTCTATGTAATACGGCAAACCAATTTTACTGCTTGAAACGATGGTAAAATTTTGTTTTCATTTTAGTGGTATATCTTCTTTATTTGGTGTCATGTAATATGATGCACATATATATTAAGTATTGTATTTGTTAGGGTGCCATGAACATGTCGGGTTTTTGATTATCTAATGCTCGTTCCACATCATTTCTATATCTGTCTTGATTCGTCTTAAACGTTTTTGTCATCTGGGCATGTCAATGATTTGACAAATATAGAATAATCAGGACAGAGGTTGATGTGACAACCCGAAATTTCTATCTTGTAAAACCATTCAATTCAATCATCAGTCAGACTTGTTTCTGCTATCTTTTAGCTTTGTTAAGGGTCTGTTTGAGTGTTCTAAGTCTAGTACATTCAAGGATTGAGTGTTAGGAAGTATCTATTAGAGTTCATTGGGCAACATTCAAGCCGGAAAACTCCATCACTTGGAGTTTACGGCCGTAAACTAGAGCTTACGGCCGTAAGCTCTTGTTTGGCCGTGAACTAGTCCCTTATGTGTGATATTCCTTCATTTTTCTTCACTTCTCACACTCCCAACTCAAGAACACTCAATTCTCTCTCAAGTATCATCAAGAACACTTCCATTTCTCGTCAAATTTGTAAGTGATTTTTTCTATGTTAGTTGATATCCTTCTTAATCTAGTAAAACCCTACGATTTCATCCGTGAATTCATCTCTTTTGGGTTAGATCTTCAAGAACACCAAGAACACACACTAGTTCTTTGGGCCGTGAACACCCCTTCAAGTTTCAAAACGTAAGTATCATTACCATATACTAGTTATCCATTAGAAGCTCTTGAAACACGTCCAAGAATCAACCATTTTAGCTTGAACATCAAGAGTTTACGGCCATAGATTCTCCCTTGGCCGTAAACCCTTCTCAAGATCATCTTTGGCCGTAAACCCTAGCTACTTCATGTGTTGGCCGTGAACATCTTTGGCCGTAAACACCCATGGCCGTAAACACCTTGGCCGTGAACACATCTAGGCCGTAAACACACCCTTGTGTGGCCGTGAACTCCCTTTAGAACAATCATATGTAATTGTAACACTTCATTCTAAGTGTTTCCTAGTCCCAAAGGTTGTTCCCTAACATGATTAGTTGTTATATACAGTAATTATATTCATATATGTGTCATTATATGCTTAATAGGATCCGTTTGTGCTCGAGACTTCACTTGACACTTAGCATCCTATATCGATCTTACATTCGAATCACTCACTACAGGTGAGTTCATACCCCTAAACTTATCTTTTAAATGATTTTAAATGCTTTTATGGGGGGGGGGGGGGATACAAGTAGAAAACATTATATTTATTGTATCAATCACATGTGATTTATAACTATCAAACAAGTGGATTTCTTATACTTCAAACTGTGTTATCAAACAAACTGTTTCAAATCATTTTATAAACTCTTTTATATGCTAAACTCTTTATCAAACTCTTTTAAACTTATATATTGTCCAAATCATGTCTACATGGATATAGTTATATAAATAAGGTTGAAAGGGCTTAGGACTGATAACTCGCTTTATTTCCTGTTCCTTGTTTGGTTGTGGACTTAGGGTATCGGTTGTTTGTCCGAGTGTCATTTGAATCTTAGTTATTGTAACATACGGATTTCCAGGTACCATATTTAAATTGTTTATTTTGAGTTATGAGGAGGGACTCGACGAGTTGACGCCTAGACTCGTCGAGTAGGATCGCGATTTGCTGACTGGATTAATGAACGGACTCGACGAGTCGATGGGTGGATTCGACGAGTCCGCGCTGTGGGTGGAAACCCTAAATCCTCGGGCATGTGCCCTATTTAAGGGACCTTATGGCCCTCATTTGCGGCTACCAGTCCAGAGAGAGAAACCCTAGTGAGCTTGAGCGTGTGGTGTGAGGAGA